ATAATTAAATTTAATTAAAATTTTCAATTAATATCACTATTAATTAATATTTATCTATTAGTAATAATTTATTTTTATTAATTTTTGACATTTAATAACAATTAATTAATTATTAATAATAAATTGATATTAGCAAGGGTTACAATTGAAAAAAGTCACAAAAAGCTCCTAAAAAGTTAACCACAAGGGTGGTGCCTGATTGGTTTTAACTTGACTCTAAAGGTCAAAAGTACCAGGAGGTCTCAAGTTCAAATCCAAAGAGGAATAAAAATCCACTTGTGGCTACGGAGGTTGAAATGCGGTGACTCCGGGCTATCTGCAAAGCAGGTGATCGTCCTGGGATTAATCGGCTCGCATAGCGAATTGGATATCCAGGTTAATCAAAAAAATATCTAACTTATATATATATATATCCAAACATGAAAAAAATTAGATTATATTTGTTAAAAGATCCTTAAGCTTCCATTTCTATGGTTTACAAAAAGGGGGTAAAAAAGGAAAACTATAAAAGCATTAGGATATAACGTTTATATAAGGTATCATATCTAAAAGTGTTACAATAAGTTTATAGAATGTTTTTATACGTTTTAATAAGTTTCTTATAACACCTTTAATTTTAAAGTGAACTTCGACAGTTTTTCAATTTTGAAGATTACAACATTTATTATATCATAAAATAATTCATTATATTTGATAACATATTATTTACATATGTTAAACATTTACTTTTAAGAATTTTTATTGTTAAGAATAATAATAATAATAAATCATTTTTTTCTACGATTTCTCCAAATTTAAAGAATTTTATCAGATGCCTCGTCTTTTTTCTATTTTAAAAACGTTTTAAAAAGCTTTTTTGGAAAGAAAAAAAAAAGTCATCACAAATGTTGTGTTTTTTTTTAGTTTTAAAAAATCTGTTAAAAACATTTCTAATATTTTTATTTTTAGAAAAATAAAACGAAATACGTTAGGAGCGAACGGGCCAATATAACCCCACCCAACTAATTTGACCACGACGTCCCTATTTGACCTATCCTTCTATTGGACCAATCATTTAAATACATTTTATTGATATGATTTTATATGTTTAAAATCGTACCGAAAGTATTGATTTATCGTAGTGTTTTTCTCTTTAAAAAATTTGACATTTTTCAAAAATTTACTTTTTATTTATTAACAGTCAAACATTTAATTCTTTATGACATTAATTTATTCATAATATTTTTTTTAGTTTTTTGATAAACCACAAACTTATATTTTAAAAAATTAAATAAACAATAAATTTATTCTAAATTAATTTTTGATAATTTAATAAATTATTTTTAAATTTCTATAAATGTTTTATAATAGAATTGAATATAGAGACTCACAAGTATCGATGGTTGTTAAAAATGCGTTTTTCTTTTAAAGGAATTAAATAAAAATATATATGTATATATATATATATATATATATATATATATATATATATATAAATATATTTAATTGAAGAGAGAGAGAAAAAGCATTATTGTTAGGCAGTCAAATAAAAGGAGCAAATACCATATATGATTTGGTGTTGTTTATCGGTTGTATGAGATAGACACGAAATCAAGCCTCAAAAAGTGAATTCGAAAGAAGGAATTCTCCTTTTCACACACTCACTTGCGTACACCTGCTTCATATTCCATCCAACCCAACCCCTTGAATCAATGAATTCCCTCCTCTTGACAGAAAGTAGGATATCTATCTTGATTACAGCCTTTTTGGGTTGATCGTCGATTTCGGATTCGATGTCTGTTCATCCTTTTCATTCGTTATTTACTTGATAAACCCTTTTACGGATTTCTGTTTTCCCAACAAGAACACTGCAGAAATCAGCACCCAATCCAACAGTTTATTCTATTGAAAAATCGTAGAGATCGATCTTACCTGCTACTTCCTTCGTTGGTTGTCTTTTACTGTTTCGGTCGTTTAGATTATCGAGGTAACCAACCATCCAACACGTAGCTTGCAAGGCTTTGTTGTTTTTCTTTCCTTCCATTTCCCAATTTTTATTTTTTTTCTTCAGAAATTGAGGTTTTGGATTTATGGGTGTGATCGAGATTGGTTAGGAAAGGATTTTGGTTTATGGGTTTAATCTGGTGATTTTATTGAATCAACATTCATCTGATCTTGTTGGATTTCGTTTGGAGTTTGGTGGGTGCTGTTGCTATGGCGGTGACGAAATCTGCTGCAAGGATGGATTACTGGAGGGAGTTTTTTCGAACTGCTAATGCGGATATATTCGAAATCATTGAAGGAGCGATCATGATGGCTGCTTCTGATTGCCCTAAAGAATTCAGGATCAGGAGAGATGGGATTGCTCAGATTCTGTTTTCTTGTAAATTGATCAAGTGTTCTGGTTGTGATAAAGAGGAATTGGCCTTGCCTGTAGATGATGATGAACACGATGATGATGGCGGTGGTGACGGCGGTGATGATGATGATCGTTTGGGGGTTAAGTATAAGAGCAAATTAACAGATGCTGATGGGAATTGGAGTACTAAAGGGAGCAGCAAGGTGATTAATGATTCCAGAAATGATGATGATGACGACTATGACGATAACGATGATGATGTGGGGGTTAAGTATAAGAGCAAATTAACAGATGTTGATGGGAATTGGAGTAAAGGGAGCAGTAAGATGATCAATGATTCCAGAAATGATGATGATTATGATGATGATAATGATGATGATGATGAAGACGACAACCATCATCATCATCATCAGCAGCAGGAGGATGTTGAGCTTAATGAGAATAACCACCAGATTAGCAATTACACATATGGAGATGCAGAAGCTCTGACTGATGCAATGGAAGCAGAATCCCAAATTTTTGATGAAGTTATGAGGATCAAAGAGATTGTTGACAACAGCCCAGATGAGGTTTTTCTCTATCACTTCACTAACTTAATCGAATTCAATCCAATTTCTATCAGTTTATCCCTTTTGTGACACTTTAGATCATAAAACTGTGTGAATAACTTCATGATTACAATCTGCATTAGTTTTAATTCCTTGCTATTTCGATTCTATTTGATATGGTTCTTGTGATCTTATCAGTCGACATCGGTTTTATGCAACTCGTTAAGAAAGCTTCAATTGATGGCCATATCCGTAGATACTCTCAAGGTTTGGATACGAATCTTTACCGGATCATATTCCTCATCGAGCTGTATCGATTTACCACTTCTCTTTTAACGTTTCTTGATTCGTATTTCAGGCAACTGAGATTGGAAAATCTGTTAATGTGCTTCGAAAGCATGCATTAAAGGACGTTCGCCAGATTGCAAGAACCCTAATCGAGTATGAATTTCTCTTTCGTTAACTTGATATGCGCATTTAACCAAGATAAGCTACTCGTGTAGCATTTCAATAGGCTACATGGTCTTTTAGGACATTTTTCATTGTCATCTAGTTTATAAGCTGATTTTTACCAAAGTAGACTAGGTTATCTGCCAATAGCTAGCTTATTAGTTAGTTTAGCAAACGTAGCCTTAGTTTCCAAGAAGAAGAGATGATTTCGTTATGATTGATTTGTCGTCTTTCGTTATCAAAGTTACCAATCATTAACGTGTGTTGCATAAACTTTAGTTACGCTGTGTTCACCTAAAGAAAGAAATCGTGTTGTTTTTTGGTAATCTAAATGCACGGAGAACACTTACCATGGGGCTAACCATCGTTCATTGTCCGTGTTTTGGATTGCAGAGTGTGGAAAGGTATGGTGGATGAGTGGGTGAATGCTACGACAAAAATAGCCGGTAATTTGTTTAAACGAAACAGATTTCCGTATCTTTTTTGTCTTAAAACTGTAGCGATTTTTAAACGAACGCCAATGCTTTGATTCAGCTTCTGACGACACCCCTGAGTCGATAAATCCATCTGTTCTCGATGAAGAAGATGGCCTCCCTTCACCTCCGCTCGATGATTTATCGTTTCTGAACCCTCACTCGATGTCGTTGGAACTATCCGAGGTATGCAACTCTTGTCTTTTCCGTCACCAAAAAATATTCTTTGGTTTCCACGACATTTTTGTGACCGTTCTCTAAGCAAGTTGTTCTTGGTTTCGTATGTTTGGCTCTCTGAAGTTCTTTGATGGCATGGATGACTATGGAAGTAAGTTGAATTTGTGCACTTGATTCATACAGACAATAATTCAATCCAGGGTTTAATGCAATACAGCTTCTGCTCTTAGGTTTTTCATTGAATTCCCACTTTGGATATTGTTTCAGATCCAAGAAAAAGCGGGGAATTCAACAAGAACCGTAATAACGATGGAAAGCCGCCGGTCCAGAAGCAAAATGTATCAAAATGGAAACAACAGAAACCGTCAAACGAACAAACCGTGATTCCAAAAGAGGATACCGACTCTTTTCTTGCGAAACAACGAACCTTTGTCAAACCAAGTAAACCTCCGATTGCCAATTCTTCGTTGAGGCCAAACATGGAAAGAAAGTTGCAAAACCCCGGAAACCCAACTCTTCCGAAGCGACCATTGGCGCCTCAACATGTAAGTTACAATGTTATATTATTATTGTCTTTAGGGTTTAAAGTTTAGGGTTTAAAGTTACTTTATTATGTTACCATTGTCTTAAAGTCACTTTATTATGTTACCATTGTCTTTAGGGTATAAAGTTAATTTCTTATATTACAACTGTGTTTAGGGTTTAGGGTTTAGGGTTTAAAGTTATCTTATTATATTATCACTATCTTTTGGGTTTAGGGTTTAAAATTACTTTATTATATTATCATTAGGGTTTAGGGTTCAAGGTTTAAAGTTATGTTAACTAACATTTTATCGGGTAATTGCAAACAGAAACCGAGACCTTCAGATGAGGAAACGGTCCAAGACAAGCTTGAAGTGACAAAGCGGAAGCTTCAGGAACGTTACCAACAAGCGGAAAATGGTTCGTATCGATGATTCTCGACACTAAAATTTGTATTCAAAGTAATCCAACATTTAAAATGTTACATATTTTCCTTACAGCCAAGAGACAACGAACAATACAAGTTATGGAACTGCATGATCTTCCGAAACAAGGCATGCCGTTGAAAAACCAACACATGAGGCCGGGTAACAACCATAACAGACATTGGGGGCACGGCCGCACTTAGACGGGATTTAGCTGTCGGTCTTGAAAGACGATTCGAGACCGACGGCTAATTTTGGAGAATTTTTTCATAGTCTCCCATGTAAGATTTGGGGATAGGTTATTAGTTTAGTTAAAGTGGGGGATAGTTTATGAAAAGTGGTCACAATTGACTTTGTTGTATAGAAGCACCATCTACAACTGACTTCTAAATTGGCTGGTTATGGCAGAGGGCCCCACCCACACCCACACCCACAGGATAAGGCCATATTCTAAGTGACATTCTTGCAAGCATACATAATTAAGAGCATTTTAGACACCAAATATTGTTATGATAACTTTAATCTTAATGTTATCTTTTATAAATAATTTTATTACATTTTATTATTTAATTTATATTTTTTTTTCTTATTTGAAACAACTTATGTTTTTCTACCAAAACATTTATCAACTTATTATAAGTCAGAAGGGTTTAACTTATTCAAAAACTTCCTATTACCGGTTTGGCACTGGTATAAGTTGTTTATCCAAACACTCAAAAGTGCTTATTACCGGTACCACACCAGAATAAGTCAATAAATTGTTTTTATAAGCAATCCTAACTAATAAATAAGTGATCAACATTGAACCCTATTACAACCAAATAACCATCATAATTAACATGAAACTCTTCCATTCTTTCAAAACCATACCATTTCATAAAATAAAATAGGAACATTGACCAAAATAGTTAGCCAAGTTTACACAAATCCCTTGTGCTCCTGCATAAAATCTATTTTCAGATGAAAAAAAGAAAACAAAATTCTTTTTATGTAAATACAGATCTTTCTGCAAATTCACGTAAAACCCCATTTTTTCCCTTTTTAATCTGAATTTAACTTAACGTAAACTCTTCTTAAAATAAGAATTGCAGAGACGTTCCAATCTTTTTAGAAGTCTTGTTACATCCAAATTTTTTTATTACATTGCATAAATGAGATAACAGAGAATATATGTTAAGAACAAAAATGGACTACATCTAAAACAATTAACAATCTGAAACTAAACTCAAATCATTAAGGATTTGAACCTAAAACCAAACGGTTAATGATTTGAACCTAAATAACTTCGACTATAGTTTTACATAGGTTGATAAAAAGACTTAAACACATATAAATTTGGGTCCCAAAATTTTCAGGAACCCTATTTAAAATTTCACATTTAATATGTTAAAGAATGATCTGAATTTTGATCCAAGATGATGTGTGTTTTGATGAATTTGCCAATAAAATACGTTTCTACCAACAATTTAAAAGTGTCCACTATGAAATTTTAAAACATTTATGTGGATTATTTTATCTTCTTTTTTATAATGAGAACACGTGTTTTTTACTTACCTAAATTTTGGTAGTTTGGCTAAACATGGTGCTGACATTTCATTGTTGGGGGGTCAAAACGGTACCGTCTTCTGACAGAACGTGCTACAAGATGTCTGGTCAACTTGTGACTAAGAATGGCGTGTGGGACCCTGGAGATTAAAGTTCCCTTTATCGACTTAAAATACTCCTTGTTTTTATCATTTTAGTTTTAAAAAGTCTAAAAAAAACTCTTTTTACATTTTTCATTTATTTAAATCACTAATCATGTTTTTTAATAAGAAAAATAGGGGTTGTTTACTTACGGCTTATTTGCACAGAACATGTCTTAATCACACAAATAGAAATAATGTGTTGTCCTCATTCAGCTATAAAAATGACACATCTACCCTTTATTTAAAGCACCGTCTCTTTCTCATATGAGACATCTTATCTTCGGCCTCTTTATAATTTTTTGTTTTGATGTTCAAATAAATAATATTGGGGGGGGGGGGGATCATTTATGTTATTCAGACTGTTGGTTCAGATTTAAAAAAAGTAAACAACAACATTTGTTTATCACATTTAGCCGAACAAACAAATTTATTCANAACATGTCTTAATCACACAAATAGAAATAATGTGTTGTCCTCATTCAGCTATAAAAATGACACATCTACCCTTTATTTAAAGCACCGTCTCTTTCCCATATGAGACACCCTATCCTCGGCCTCTTTGTGATTTTTTGTTTTGATGTTCAAATAATTAATATTGGGGGGTAAATTGATCATTTATGTTATTCAGACTGTTGGTTCAGATTTAAAAAAAGTAAACAACAACATTTGTTTATCACATTTAGCCGAACAAACAAATTTATTCATACATGACTTAATAAAAACATTGGTAAACAACCTCTTAGAAGTGGATTAAACAAGTTGTAATGTGTAATTTTCAGTTAAATCCGTCAATAGATTTAAAATGTGGTTATAAAATTAAGGGGTCAAATTAGCTATTTTAGTCAATTCCCTTTTTTTAATCGTCTTTGCGTTACAATTAATATTTACGATTATTTTATTAAAAAATCTAAATATATAAAAGTATTTACATATTTTTAGTTTCAGTAACACTTATATTTTGTATGTCACAAAATTAGTTCTATTATTAAAATATATAATGCATTTAATAAAATATCAGTAATTTATATCTGATAAATATTTAATCTCAAGGTTTCTTATTGATGAGAAAGAACAAATCACTCTCTCTCCTAAATAATTAGTTATCCATACTGATGTATCTGGGCATTTCAGTTCAGTCAAGAAATTTTCATCACTACTTCATAACTTACTGTTGACTTCAATAAATAAGCCTGAAAGCTTTGAGATATTCAAAGAATTTCATAATGAAGTAGATAATCAACTTGGCAAAAGATAAAAGCAGTTCGGTTGGATCGAATTCATGAATATCTTAGTCAATAATTTATTGATCAGTTTAGAGACTGTGGGATAGTATCCCAATCAACTCCTCCAAGAACACCACAATGGATGTTTAAAAGGGACAATTGGATATTACTTCTACAAAGCCCAGTGAGAACAAAGTATTTGTTGTGCAACATGGTGAATTCTTAAAAAATGATTTTTAGCAAGAACCAATGGGGATAGAGTAGAACTGGAAGAAATTTAAGGAACCACAAGATGAGACTATGTTGAAAAATAACCATCAACAAGATGTTGAACCTCAACATGTTGTAGAGAAAATAACGAGATACAAACAATTTGAAGATCATGTAGGAATCCTCTAGAGCCTGTTGGCAGTGACGATACAGTTCATGATGAACTTGTAACCTACTAGGAAGTCGTGTTAGGTTTTGAATCTGATAAATGCACGATGCCATGAAGGCTTAAATACAATCCATGTCAGACAACCAAGTTTGGAACTTGGTAGATGCACCAACGACTGTAGAGTCGTCGAGTGCAAGTAAGGATTCAAAACAAAACTGACATGGAAGGGATTATGCATACCTATAAAGCTAAGCTGGTAGAAAGGGGTTCTTATGATGAGACTGTATCTTCGGTAACAGTGATTAAATCAATCAGGATTCCTCTACACATATTATGATATGACAGATGGATGTTAAAACCATGTTCCTTATAGAAACTATTTAGCGAGGACGTATACATGGTTTTAAGCATTCAAAGAATCTTGAAAAGGTATGCAAGTTATAGAAGTTCATTTATGGACTAAAACAAGCATCTTGTAGTTGGAATCTTATGTTTACAAGAAAGTCAGTGGGGTCATAGTAGTATTCTTGATCTTATATATTCGGTGACATATTGATCGTTGGAGAGGCAGCATATATCATTGGCATAAAGATCTTGCTGTAAGGTAGTCAGGAAAGAGATCCGTATATCCAAGGGTATATAGATCTGTATCATTGGCATAAAGATCTTAAATCGTGATAAGGATATGTGACAAGAAGCAGAAAAATTCGATGTGGCCCTCGAACTAGTGACTATTAATGAGAATTGTTCCTAACTTAGATTAGGACAAGAAGACTACAGTTAAAAACCAATGATACACACAAGGTTTTTCAACGCGTGTGTGTGTGTGTGTGCGCGTGCGTGTGTGTGTGTGTTTTGACTAATATGGTAGAACAATTTAAATTCATGTAAAATTAATTATAAAAACTAAAAAATACCATTTATGTCAAATATGTAGAGCGTAAACGAAAATGATATCAAGTGTTGAAGGCCGATGAATATCAAGTGTTGAAGGCCGATGAATATAATGTGTTTTTGGTCAACAATTAACTAAAGGTAATTGAAGATTTACGAATATTTTAGACGTTGGATCAAAAAATCAACTCATCAAACGATTTAGATTTTAGAAGTTTTCTAATCATCCTCACTACAACTCTTAAGGGGTGTTTGGTTCATAGAATTTGGTGGAATTAGAAGGAATTGGAATGTCCAAATCTTTGACCAAATTCCAAATGTTATGTTTGGTTCACATAATAGATGTGAATGAATCCTTCCAATTCCAACAAATTCCTTAAGTCATTGATTTCACAATTCCACCACATATACCACGGATTTCAAATTCCAATTTGACAAATTCTTTAGCCCTCATCCAAATTCATCGACGTTGTATCCTGATTTGCTCTGCTATGTTTGATCTCATTTGCTCGATCTCGTTTAAAACTAAGAATGGCAACGGGCCAACTTTGGGCCGGTTATTGGTATCTACGTCCCCGAAACCAATAACTAAAACCGTCCCCGTGACCGCCCCGATCCCCGTCGGGGATCTTATCGGGGATCCCCATCGGGTCCCCGCGGTTTCCCTGATCCCCATTGGGGAACCCGTTAAGGTAAAAATCCTTTTTTTTCCGTTCACCGTTGGTTATAATTGAAACCGAAACCCGAAACAGATCTAAAAAAATTACAATATGTTAATTTTTAGAACTAAAAGTAAATTACAATCTTTTTAAATATGCAAGTTTAAATATCTCAAACATAATCGAACCAATTACAAATAATGTATTAGATTACAATATCAAACTGAAAAGAACTTCAAACATCATATAATTAAAATCACAATTTCACAATTAGACAAATAAACTAGACTTTTTTGTGAGCCTTATTTGGGTTGTTGAAGTAAAATGGATAAGTTTTTTTTTTTTAATTTTAATGTTACTATTTTCTTTTAATGATATTATATATATATATATATATATATATATATATGTATATGTGTATATATAAATTAAAATTAATATATACACACATATCAGGCCGGGCCCGGCCGATGATCACCGTCCCCGTTAAATCCTCGAATTTGTCCCCAATCCCCACCCCATCCCCGATAAGATGTCCCCGAACCCAACTCAAAAGTTTCGGTTTTCACCATCGGTTTCAGTTTTTTTTTGCCATCCCTATTCAAAACTGCTCGATCTCATTCACTTTGCTCAATCTGGTATGCTCAACCCCT